AGAAACTGCTATAGCTGGTCCAGACGTATCGCGAAAACCACTCTCGTCACCATATTGAGAGGGCCGGGCGGCTAGGGCTAGCAGACCGAAGGCGCGATGCTTGCCTCGGTGGTGGTGGGATGAGAGCTACTCTACTACATGCGACGTGCTAACCGAGCCGAACCGCTGACTAAGCCGGCGAATGCCGTGCTCCTCCTGCCTCCTCGCCTCCTGCCTCGCATTCCCAGGCACCCCTACTCCAGCAGTACTATGCTTAACTAAAACTTCGCACAGCACGCGCCTCACTGCACCAGGACCTTGTGCTCCCTGCAGCCCGTCTGTTCCGCGAAGCTTGCGATACGCGACTCACAACAACTAAAGGTTGAAGAACTACCTTTTATTTCTCTGTCCTTTCGCACCACGGTCACCGGCACTCGAAGCACCGACTTCTTCATTATCGCTCGCACTGGTCGGGTAAGTCATCGTACGATTTCATTAGTTTTTGTGCACGCCGCCATTGACACGAACGTTCCAGCGCCTTCGGCGGAGTTACGACTTGTGCATATGCTTGTCGAGGACGCCATCTTGTAGTAGGTATATCTTGCTGCGGGCGTAATCAAGGCAATCTTGAGCATCATATCTCCCCTGCGTGCTGCTCCCCATCATACTCCCGCCTATAACCAATATGTCTGATCCCCGTGAGTCTTTTGCGGAGTCGATTACTGGCTCGTACTGATTACTTTGCAAAGCTGCTTCTCCTCCTCGGACACCTTCACCCGCGCCCAGTTATCATACTGAGGCTCCTCCGCATCCCGCGCCCGAAGTGCCTGCGACCGCCAATGAGCCTGGTCCCGTTAACGCGCCCGCTCCCATTCCCGAGCCGCCGGCCTTACAGCCTCAGCCTCAACCTCAGCCTCAGGCCGAGGAGGCTCTGCCTCCCATGGCCGTCGCCATCACGCTTCCACGCTTCATCTCGCCTGATAGCCCGGTCGCCGACTTCAACCGCCTGATTGCTGCTACGACTGGCTGGTTTTATGCCATGTCCTTCGGGCTCAACGGGATGTGGGGTCTGTGCCTCGACTGGTATGTCTACGCGCTCGTGATATGTACTGCATTTACTAATATAGCACCTAGGTCGAAGTGTGCTCCCTACGTGATCGGTGTTCGCGGTGCTATATTCAAGAAGTATCGTTCCATATATGAAGCCATCGCCGTCCTTCTTGGTTTTCGCGCCGACCGCAATCTGCCGCCCATCCCGATCCCCATCAATCCGACCGAGCCGCCCGTTGAGCCTGAATCTGACGACGGCGAGGACGAGGACGAGCAATTGCCCGCCTTGGCTGCACCGGCTCCGCCACCTCCCACCGCTGCCTCGAACCTTCCCTTCGCTGAGGGTGTCGAGACTGCTTGGGGCCCTGCATTGCTGCATGGTCAGGCTCACGGTGCCATGGCTGACGTCCACTGGAACCTCGTCTCCGCTGCTGACGCCATTCTCCTCTCGCCTGCGCCTTCTATGCCTAGCCTAGACTCGGCTTCAGAGTCGTCTGTCTCTTCGATCACCGCCGTTTCGACACAGGCTTCCGCACCGGCTGCGGCTGCAGTTCCCGTGCCTGTTGTATCGAACTCAGCCCTCGGTACCATGAACATGCCCGCTGCTTCTGGTTCGACGAACATCCGCGCGGGAAGCTCGGCGACTCGTAAGTCTTTGATGCCACACTAAAGTTTAATGTATACCTACTAACATTCTTCCAGAACCGGAGCTTCCTGCTTCGCTCATACACCAGGTCCTCACCAACATGGACGCGCGCTTCCGTGCACGCGTCGCTAGGGCAGAGCAGTCCGTCATTGATCGCGATGATGCCGAGCTAGCCGCGCGTTTTGCTGAGCTCGACGTCGTTGTTGGCTTGCAGGATGTGCATGCACCGCGTGACGCGCCTAACGACGCGTCTGCCGAGAATGACCCCATTATCGCCTTGCTCCAGGAGCAGGCGTCAATGGCAGACAGCGTCGCACCGCAGGGCGCCTTCCACTCCCTCAACCTCGTCGACGGCGTGGTGCAGAATGGCCCTCTCGATGCCGTTCGCATTGAGGACGCCGTCATCTACACCCATCTGTCTGATGTTTGGGTCGAGTCGGCGCAGTCTCGCATTCCTTTACTCTCGGTGGCCCGTTCCCGCGCGCATACGGAGCTGTTGGCCTCTCAGGATTATGAGCGCTCTGCCGAGCTCGCTCGTGAGGCTGGCGCCTCGAACGATGTGATACAGACTCATCAGCAGGAGGCGATGATCCGTCTGGAGAGCTCTATTCGCCTCGCCCGCCTCGCCGACTCGCTCTACGCTCAGATCGTGTCGCTACTCTCCAATGCGCAACGCGAGCACGGACACGCTACTCTGATTCGCCGCCGGTTCCGCGCCCAGAACCCGGATGCTGACGTCGACGTGCAGGGCACGGAGGGCAAGGGTAAAGGTCGCGCGAAGTAGGTGTCCGCGTATGCGATGTTTCCATATATGGTTGTTCTTATATCTCGATCTTGCGTCTGCCGTGCCTTCATCTCCTTTCTTGCTTCCCATGTGCTCGTATCGATGCTCGTGCCTGTACGCCGTCTGCGCTCATATCCCCCGCTCGCCTTCTTGTAATCCCTGCCTGTATATCCCCCGCTCGTCGTAACCCCTGCCTGTTTATAACCCCTGCTTGTTTGTAACCCCTGCCTGTTTGTAACTCCTGCCTGTTTGTAACTCCTGCCTGTTTGTAACCCCTGCCTGCTTGCATCCCCCGCCTGTTTGTATCCCCCGGTGTTCAGCACCTACTTGCCTTAAACCCGTATACGTCACGATGTTGTAGTAGATAAAGCCGTTGCGCACAGCAGCGCAATATACTGTTTTGCGCAGCAATTTTTATTTCGCGTGAATAACGACACAGCAAGATAAAATACATTATTCGAACCGACAGCGAGTCTAAAGATCAAACAAGCGACGCGAAGTGTGACGGTTAACACTGTAGTAGCACCGTGAGTCCTGGTACGCCAGATGTACGTGGCGACTAACCCATTACCCTTGAATATGAGAATCCCGTCTTGCCTCGCTGCACGGTAGGAAGCGCCACCCTGGCGCCACAACTCGATCTCTTGTGCGTAGCCTGCTACAAGGCATCGCTTACGATGGGGCAGAGTCGTATTGTGCGGCATGGTTTGAGATTTGACCAAAAGACCGTCAACGTACGCGCAGTAGTTCTGCGGGAATCGTGCTGCGTCTGTTGAACGCAGAAGTGCGCGGCGGCGCTTCAAGGCACGGTAGATGCTCGCCTCCTGCTTTGCCATGGCTGGAGTGCGTTCCGGGTCTGGGCGGGCGCTGCTATGCTTCCAGCCAATGTCATCGACATACATACTAAGAGTTTGTAGTCAGTAAATGAGTGCAATAGACTCCCGTAGCACTCACCCGCGCACGCCAGTGAGCTCGAGCTTGCGAAGATGTTCCTGCTGCTTGCGGGAAGACTCCCCGATTCGCCTCCTACCAACGCGATGAACGTAGTTGTATTCCCTTTGCTTGTGCCGTAAAGTATCCTTGTGTCTTCAACGTCAAGGCGAGTGCAGGTGGTGAGCATAGCCAGACTCACCGTGCATAGTAAGACTGTGAGGTAACTGGTTCAGTTGAACGGGCAATATCCTCGTCGTCGGAATCTGAGTCGTCCTCGATGCCTTCAGAGAAGAGGCCGGCTACGACTTCCTCAGGCAGATCGTCATATGCCATGAGCGAGGTTGCGTCGCGCGTGATGAGAAGTGGAGACAGATGCTACAACGCGAGCGGCGGCGACCTTGGTTCGCACTGATAAGTTGCGCGCACTCTGGCAGTCCACTGTAAAACAGAAAGAACAATTCTGACAGCCGACAGAGCCATATGTATCGGGGAAAAAGTGGCTTGTATATGAGCTTGGACACAGCCCGAGCACTCATACGAGTACAGACATGCATAGCAGGTATCATGCAGCTGTACAGCAATATTATACTGTCCCAGGCTGCCGCGTTCGGACTGGTATTTCAGCGGGTGAGCATTTCCTCTCTCTTTTCGCTCCCATTTGATACAGTTCATGCACGTATGGCCGAGCTTGGCTTCATATCCTTCTATGCCATCATACAAGGCGGCAGAATAAGAGTATACATAGTACAGTGACAAAATTCAGGTGCGTGCGAATCTCGGGCCATCCACACGTGCCTGATCTTTCGTTTGTTGAACGCGCCACGGCCGTTCTCTTCCAACTCCCACCCGCTGAGTCTGCTCCTTGTTTTATTTATTCATACTTCACCTGTACCACACAAGGCCTCCCTAATGTCGACGCGTCCTGATCACCACAAGAAGCGCCGTGCTGGTGACTTTACCGAGTACACTCCGGGCGAATCTGAGTCGCCCACCGTTTCGTCGACTTCGACGGCAACGCGCGATTTTAACCGCAGGCTTGCGCGTACAAGAGGCTCTTCGCATTCCCAGGCTAGGGCAGGATCTTCTCAGCAGGTTCATCACACTGTCATGTCAGTCGGGGCTAGCGGTTCGAAGACGAACACCCGCACTCTTCACTCTGTGGCCAAGACTTCGTCCGCGTCGCAACCTGTTCCCGTGTTACACGAGGTTCTTACGGCGAAGGCGACTGGTACAGGTGAGCAGTATGAACTACATCACGACAATTACTCTCTAATGCAAGCAGGAGCCTCTTCTCATGAACACATCGAAGACGGTATGATTGCCGACTTGACATTCTGGGCTGGAATCTAACGGGTACTGCAGTTACCGGCGTGGACTTCGCGCAGCAAGATCATGACGGCCCGCAGTGGCTGGACAAAGACCCTCCCTCTCAGAGTCACAGTCGCGAGTCCGCGCCTCAGAAACGCCCGACGAAACGCAGGCGTAGTGTACGGGTCAGCAATCTTTTACTCGCATCATCGACACCTGTGTGCTGACTTTCCGCACAGAAGAACCCTTTGCGCCAGCTGATGCAGATGATGGGGTTGATTCTGGACAGCATGGCGCGTCACGATGGCTTGGGGGATCGTACCGTTGATCCTGCCAGTCAACTTCCCGCGTGTGATGCGTGCGAAAAGCCTGGTGCTTCTCTACGCTGTCGCGCTTGTCTGTTCGGTCGAGTCCTGTGCCAAGATTGCATGGTTGCAGAGCATTCGCGGCTGCCGCTGCATCGCATTGACGTGAGTCCGACTTCTTCATATCGCTATTCCACGAGCCTAAGCCGTGCCTACTGCTAGCGCAGGAACAAGCACTATTGGGTCGCGCACAGTCTTGCGAAATGTGGTCTATGCATCCAGCTTGGTCACAACGGCGGCCTTTGCGAACGACCTGGAGACGACAACGAGCTCACGGTGATCGACGTCAGTGGCATCCATACAATCAAGTGCCGGACGTGCGGGTGTTATGAGAATGCCAAGAACTCGCTCGCGATTCAACAGCTGCTCGACGTCAAGTGGTGGCCTGCTACAGTAAAAACGCCATCCACGGTCATGACCGATAGCGCCAACCGCTTATTTCAGTCGTTAACGCTCCAGGGCAAGGTATATCGGAACTTGCTCCTCGTAACTATTCACCACTGAGCACTTTTGGAACAGGTCAACGTCTACGACTTCTGGAACGGTCTTGTCCGTATCACGGACTCTTCGGGCTTATTACCCGTCAAAGTACGTGGGCATCATAGTTCTCTATCTGTACGGAATTCTGACTAGCTGTATAGCAACGGTACACAGAGATGCTACGTGTCACCAAGCTCTTTCGGTACCATCGGGTGCTTAAGAGGGGTGGCATTGGTCACAAGTCACGCGACCTTGTTAAGCCGAGTACTGGCGAGGTCGTTGTCACGGGTGCTGAGCTTGACGCCACCATCACCGAGCTGCACGCCATTGCTGTAGAGGCGACGCAAACTGCGGCTTCAGGACCTCCATCAGCGGTTTCCGCATCAACGCCGGCAGGAAACACGGCACCTATTACCGCTTCTACACAACCATCGTCTTTGTCGTCGGCTGTCTCAGATATTTTGGGCGAAGTTACTCTCGACTCGTCTTCCCGGTCCTCAGCACACACTTCGTCGCCTGCAACCCTGCAAGGTCAGTCGTATATACTCCATCGTAACTCAAACACTAACTCGAAGCGCCAGACTCGGATACCGATAAACCTGCCGACGCGTCCGTCTCGGGCGAAGTCTCGCAGCAAGACTCTGTCGCCGCCCTTGTCATGACACTTCTCGCTTCAGCACTCGCACATTTTCGTGCTGAGCGAGATCCACAAGCGACGGCCGTTCGTATCTCCGAGGCCTTGGAAGAGTCGCGTATGTGTTTGGCCATAGGGATCACGCGGATTGCAACTAACTACATTCCTTTCTAGATGATGTACCAGCAATCGAACCCGGTAGCCTTGCGATTCGCTGTATCGCGTGCCCATACGAGGACAATATGCAACCAGGTTGGCAGGATGTGCCACCACGCGAAAGGTACGCTGCGCAAACATGAGCGAAGCTTGAATCTAATCAATGTCTAGATACAAGCACTCCTTGTTCGTGTCAAAGGACGCGAACTTCAAACTACGCCGCAAAGCAAAGTTAACGCTCCACGACATCGCCATGGGCGACGGCGGTCTCTATTTTGTCAAAGAGGCGGCGTATCAAGCGCATTTGGCCACGCATACAGAGGAAACCGAGGTTGGTCACCTGTAGAATGATTCAAGACCGTACTAATGGGCCCATAGATGAAGGAGTGTCGCTTATCCTTTGCCGCGATATCTGGCGCGAACAAGATGGGCGACGGCACTTACGATATCAATGGCGTTGGAGCTCTCCTTTGTGCACGGCATTTATGGTACTTCCCTTGTAGTATCGCGGACTTGAGGTTTGGCGAATGGTACGTCAATGTTCAACATTCGCTCGGGTGCCGGTACTCACTATCTCTCTAGATACGTTTCTATGGACTATATATTGTTCACTGTGCTACAACTCTACTTCACGCATATCCTGTGGCTCTACATCACGTACGACATCAACTGCCAGTTCAGCAAAAATATTCTCAAACGCTGGGAGAAGTACAAGACGGAGTTCAAGCTCGATGCGCCCGGTCGTTCTGTCCGTTACTGCATCCCCAAGTTCCACCTTCCCGCACATGGGCCCGATTGCGATGAGGATTACAACCTCAACAATACCCAGGGTGCTGCCCGCACTTGCGGTGAGGGCATTGAAGCAGGTTGGGCGAACACGAACGGCGCTGCACTCATGACACGTGAATCGGGTCCGCACACTCGCCACTTCGCCCTAAACGACTTATTCCACTCTATCAACTGGAACAAGCTTCTCACCCTGGGTACGTCCACTTGATGCTGCCGTCCTTTTTTTTGTCTCTGATGCCTGTCTGTAGGTTCATGGATGGCCAAATCACTGCGCGAATCTGTCAAGCAGCTCGCGATACAACAGGAGAGTTTGACCGACCTCGAGTCCGTGTTTCCCGAGGAGGTTATCGGTCGATGGCTCGGAGCATTGCGCGCATGGGAGGATGATTTCGGGAAGTCGCCAAACCCGTTCCATGAGGAGGATCGAGGTACGTCCGTGTATGGCTCCGATACCAGATGTGTGCTGAGATCACGACAGGCTACGAAGCAACAAATGTGCGCCTAGAGCTCGAGGCCGAGGAGGCCGAGGTCATCAACAAGGGCAACGTCTCGCTGACCGACCAGACTGAGAGTACATTCTTGGCTTCCGCCATAGACTTGGCAGATTTACGGTACGTATATCATACGTGAACTACGTTACACATTGACTGATTTGCATCTAGATGGATCTTGAAACGATACATCAAGAATCTCGGCGACAAACCCACACCAGCTCAACAGAAAACGCTCCAACAGAAGCGTAATTCGTATCGCCACAAGCTAGCATCGCTCCGAACCTTACAGCAGGTGTACACGAAGAAGCTTTTCGACCTGCAGCCCTCCCCTGTGTCAGTGTCTCAAGATTCCTCAGCCCCGCCTTCCTCTGACTCCGCCGCCACGACGTCGATCTTGCTCCCTGAGATCGCGGCTCGTAAGGGTGTGGAATTCGTGTCTCAACTATCTACCCGGCTCGACGTCAAACAACCGGAGATGCACGAGCTCGGCGCCCCGTGGGAGTTGGAGGAACTGGTGCGATCGCATGTGTGCTCTCGCGCCCTCATCGACAAAGCGAAGCGGTTGCACATCGGCGAGTGCTTGACAGCGCTACACGGGATGCGTCGCGGGCTGCGCGCGAAGTATGCGTACGTGCAGAAGAAACGCGTCCATATCAACGGCGTAGGTGTTGGTACACAGTCCGGGGTCGTGACACAGGCCCGCAACAACATCCAGCGGATGTCGGACAAACTTCATCGTCTGGCGCAGAAGTACGCGCGTTTGCGTGACGCGTTGCTCGCAATTGATCCCGATGGTGACTGGAAGGAGGAGTTACTCGAGTTGGATGAGAAGGAGGACTTGCGTCTGCCGACGAAGGACCAGAGGGAACTCGGCCAGGGTTTCCGCCGTCTAACGTGGCTTTGGACCAAGACGCAGTACGACGCGACCGATATCCCGGGGCAAGTTCACCCTGGAGAGGCAAATCTCGACGACGAAGACGTTCATGAGAGTACGTCATCAAAAGCCTTCACTTCCACTGTTCGTACTGATCAATTGTACGATAGGCATGCGTCTCGAATGGACGGTCAATCGCGCCCGAACGGATCGGTGGCTGGAGGAGCGTGAACTTCTGCTCGTTGAAATGTGGCGGTCCCTAGTCTCGCTTTTGAACCGTGCACGCGAATGGGACGATAGAATTGGGGCGCGTCCGCTTGCACCCGATGCTATTCGGCGCGGTCTGAATGCACGCGCGGCTCGTCAGGCTGCGATCTATCGCGGCTTGGCCAAGACTTTCTACGAGCTCTGGCGGCCTATCGTCGAGGAGCTAAAACTGCAGATTGACTGGCCGTCGGAGCTCTTGCTGTCTGGTGCCGTTGCGGACGGCGACCTGGTAGATTCGAGCGCGGTTCGGGCTGCAGAAGATACAGGACGTGCCGGTGTGGACCACCCCGACGGGCTGATAGATGTCGACGACGATGACGAGCGTGGTGCGCAAGATGAGGACGACTTCAATTCGGACGAGGAGGATGAGGACATTACTGCGGACGGGCCTATTGTTCGTATGCGGGGCGTGGGGGACGATGATCTGGATTACGACTTATGATATCTACGTAGTATAGTGTCGATAGCATGAACTTATCGAACCTATTGATTGTAAAGGCACAGTACAAGGAGACCGAGAGCTAAGTGCGCAAGGTCCCTCAGCAACTGGGAAGAACGACTTCGAACAACGACTTGGGCGCCGATGACTTGGCAAAATTATTGCGACTCCCAAAAAAAAGCGACGCGACATAGCCGAATCGAACCGGCGGTGCAACGGGAAAGTCTTGCATTCTTGGGTTTGGAGACCAGTGCTGCAGACCCTTCAACTAAGGATCCCTTGTTAGTATACAAGTGTCTTCAATGCCATCACCGTTCCCTGACTGAACACCTGATCTGCAGTTTATTCATAGTCTATTAGCAACGTACACAAATGGCCCGCCGTGGGCTCGTATTGCTCCGGCATTGCTATTACCGGACTGAAAGACAGTCTCACCAGCTCTATCGTACGTGTACAGCACTCCCTGGCCTATACAAGTTGAATCTTAGTTTATTCATGATAGCGTAGCCATGCAAGAGTGAGCTATGGGGGCTGGAGTGAGCATCAATGGCATACAACCGATAGCAGTTCCAATGTACAAAAACGTTTACCCATCACCACGGGAGCGATATCAGCAGAAAGTCCCGCAACGAACGAAATACCATTCAGTTTTATTTCCGAGCGACTAGAAGTGATGCTGTTAATGTCATACCGCGAAGTCAAACAGGATGGTCCACAGAACAACTCTACGTTTTCGCAAGGCCGTGGACCCAAATGTCAGGAAGGAGTGCAGGAAATCAGAAATGCAACGAAGAAAAGCGTGTAATTGAATTGGAAAGAAACGACGCGGATGGAGACCGTCACGATGATTAGTCCGATGCATCACATATTGAAGCAAATCTCAGAGAATCGAGGCAGCAAGCTAGCGCGAAATCGATACACGAAGAAAAGAATACAAAAATGCCATTTTATGGACCAGATTCGATACAGTGCGTACCATTGACCCGGGTCTTGGCCGGCAAACACTAATACAGCCGTCGAGGGGTCAGGATAATCTGTGCGAGAAGAGAGGGTGCCCGCATGCGCGCAGAGAGCTGCCGGGAGGATGGAGAATTTAATAGGGTAGATATCGCGGCTCATTCTGTGGCTGGCCGTGAGCGAAGCTCAGCTCAAAAAAGCACTGGGGTCAAAGGGAAGACACACCACATAATAGATTAATGCGTATGAGGCCAGATCCTGAGCGCACGCACCAGAGGAGCCGACCCAGAATGGTGCCCCGAAAAACGTGCTGATAATATTGTACTCGAACAAGACCTATCCGTACCCTGTTCGTCATTCATAGAGATATCCACAAAGAAGGAGAACACGTACCGTAGAGCTAGACCCATTAGAGCGGCCGGCTGTGGCAAGAATGCCCGAGTACCGGGAATGGGGTGAAAAGCCCGCGCTCGCGCTCGCTTTCGGCAGGACGCAGTAATGGCTGATATATGCATAAGACAATGTAGAGCGCATGCGGCGGATCACGCACCGACAAGTATTCATTCCCCAGAAGCCCGTGCAGGCCGCAAAGCAGGGAAAGCAGTCGCGGGGGCATTTCCGTGGCGTGCGCGCCCGCGCCCCAGACGCAGCGGCTGGTGCTAAAACAAGCTGCGGATCACATGCATATACGCCAAAGGTCAGCGTAGGTAATGTGCATCGCGTGGTAGAACGTACGGATAGAGCAGGAGGGCGTATAGGAGGCAGGAAGGGAAACGGCGGGTGCTGAACGGTACGAGGGAAGGGAGACGAAGCGGGGGAAACTGAGTATCGGAATATATAAGTAAGCATGACCTGATGACGTACTGTGCGACCTGTGATGATTGCACGAGAGACCAAGGCCGTAGGGGGGGCAGAGGGCCAGGCGGGCCCGCGCCGGGGTAGGTCCAGTTAACTGGCAAGAGCGCGGTGCGGCGCGAGGTGATTGTCGGATATTGTCGACAGATGCTATGGTATAGCCTGCAGCGTTGCGCGCGCTGAATGGAGCATCCAGTGGAGTAGTAGAACGAAAGGGCAGGTGGGCGGGGTGGCCGCGGGGTCGTACGGCCAGGACGAGAGACGGTGATCGGGAACGGCGGAGCGGGTAGAGTATGTCAAGACGTGCACGCATAGTATTCTCCCTGCTGCGCGAGGGCTACATAGGCGAGGGTAAGGAGGGGGGCGAGGGCGGAGGGCGGGCGCGGTGCAGCTATCTATGACGGCGGGTGCAGCTCCCGTTTATGACGGCGCGGAAGAACAAGCAACTGCTTCATATTTATGATCGCTCAGCTCACCTTATGATCGGGTCACGAGACCTCATCATAATCTTAGCCAGCATCAACTATATTTAGCTGGAACATACTTTCTCCTTGCTAAATCCACAACATGGTTCTTGCTATAGCAAGGGCAAAACTATTTCTTTTGCAAGCACGGCCCCGGCTCCGGCATCTGGAGTCAATCCGTGAGGAGGCGCAGGCGAGTCTATGCATCGCCGCCAATCTGATGAAGGACCACCACGGCGCCAACGACACGGCGTACAAGGCGTACAAAGTGGGCGATAAGGTGTGGTTGGAAGGGAAGAACGTCAAGACCGTTCGTCCGAAAGCCAAGCTCGACGCCAAACGCTACGGCCCCTTCACCGTCACAGAAGTTGTCGGCAGCGACCCTGAGAAGGCCATCAACTTCCGGTTGGATATTCCGAAGACCTGGAAACGTATTCATCCAGTCTTCCACGCCCATCTCCTGACCCCCTATGTGGAAACGCCGGAACATGGTCCCAACTTCCTGCAGAACCCGCCAGACTTGGTCGACGATGAGGAGGA